GGTCATCCTCTTCCCCTTCCGGGCTAGGCAGAATGCAATGTTCCGCACAGTATGAGGAGCCGAAGGTCAGTTGTCGCTGGTACCACGCCAATGCTGGGCTGTGCCTGTGCAGCCAACTCATGCCTAATACTATAGGCGTGTCCGACAGTTGGGTGACATTGAAGCTGATGACTTCTCGGTGATTCCCAATTTGCATCACCATCGGAGGCGTTTGCTGCACCACCTGCCCCCAGCAATTCCCTGCCATCCACCGTGACAACTTTCAGAGGCAGCGTGGCTGGCAGGAGTGCTATGTTGTGCTCTTGAAGGAAATCCAGTCCTATGAAGTCTGCGTTACTACCAGAGTCAATGGTAATCGGCACTTCCATAGTGAGTCCATTGGGTAGTTGGAGCGATGCTGTGAGCTGCACCACTGGTTTGGGCGGGAGGGGGTCTGTGGGCTGCAAAATCTCTGGGGACGGCTTCATTGACTTGTCTGGTTGGGCCCCAGTGCCTCTTCCTCCAACCAGACTCTGTCGTTTCCCTGCTGTGTTTCTCTCTGCTGAGTTGCTTCTGTTACTGTTGCTGAGGCTGCAGTGTGCTTGTGGAGCCTCTGGGGACACTCTTTCGCCATGTGCTGAGCACTGTCGCAGATGTAGCACTTCCTGTTCCCTCTAGGAGGCTTCGCTTTGACTGCTCCCGGTGTTAAGGCTCTGGTTGTTGACTGAGCCCTGGCGCCTCCAATCTCCATCGGTTGCTCTCCCCCTCCTTGCGGAGGTGGGGATTGCACACGCGCTGTATCCTTGGGAAAGAGGGGAGGTGCTCTCACTGGCGTACGTCCCCAACGTCCTTCTTCTCTGTTCCATGGACGTTCTTCCAGACGCACCCCAATTTGCAGCGCCCGCCGGACAACCTCCTGAGTGCTCTTTGGTCTCTCCCCCCTTGCAATCTCATCTTTCACATTTGCATTCAAGCCTTCCCAAAAAGGTCTCTGACTGGGGCAGAATCCTTCTCCCAGCCCATCGCATGGACAAAGGCAAAATTGCGGGAATGGTACTGCCTTACACTGGCTCTGCCTTGTTTGAGCCCATGTATGTCTTTTCTGGCGATATCAATGTCTATATTTGATAAAAAACACGAATCCATCGCTTTAATGAATGCATCCGCATTTTGGAGCGCCGGATCCTTATCTCTCCACAGATTGCGCAGCCACGCTTTAGCTTCCCCATGCAAATGGGACAAGATAAACCCCACCTTCTCTTGCTCATCTCTAAAGTCTTTATCCAGCAGTTCCAGCGCAAACAGCACGTCTGCTCGGAAGTTAGGGTACTGCTGCAAATTCCCATCGAAATGAGATACCAGGCTGCCTCCTCTTTTCCCCAGCCCAATCCCCTCTGATTTGGGTCCCGGTTGCCCCTGCTTAGCAAGCACTTCCAACCTGGCTTGGAGATCCCTGCAGGCGGCAGCCGCTTCCTCTTCCCTTTTCCTGGATGCGAGTACCTCCGCGTTGAGTTGTGTCACTGCATTTTGCAGGGCTGCTAGTTGCTGTTCTGTAGTCATCTTGCCTGACTTTTGTGAGCTCGCAAAGCACCAATCTTCTTCCCTCGCTGCGTCCACTCACGTTACGAGGTTTTTGGTGCAAAACTTTATGAGATGGAGCTTACTGTCAGAGCTGGCTCCAGGTCCCAGCTCACAGAGGACCAACGCTAGCCGGCAGTAATGTGCAAAAGTCTTTATTGAAGTACAGTTTCCATTTTCAAGCCGGAGCGCCCCAGCTCTACGTCTAGGGGTTAGATCGGCGAAGCTCCATCTGAGTCTCCGCCCCCTGTACACCAGTTTAAGATTCTAGCCTTACTCCACCTCTTACGTCTCTCCTTTCTCCTCTGGGTCCTGCTACCCCCCGGGCTCCCTTCCTTCCTGGATTCTTCTGACGCTGACCCTCCTGACTCCTCCCCCTCTTTTCGGCGGGCTTTGGGACCTGGCTCCCTATCCGGGCTGCCAACTGCGCCGCCCTCCTGTACATTTGAACTTGGCGCGCGCGCCCAGCCTTCAACCTTCCTCTCGACCGTTTCCTCGCTCCCCGATGGAGGCGTGGCCAATCCTGACTCATGTCCTCCCACTGGCAGTGCGCCGCCTGATCCCGATGCCTGGGACTCCTCCCCCCTACTGCACTCTGGTGTGGACGCTGGTCCTGATTTCCAACTGCTGCTCTCTGAGTCCCCTCTGGCCCCTTCTTCCTGGGGTGTCCCCCTCGGCACCCCCTTGCTCTGACCAAGGGAGCCCCTTTCTGTGAATCTTCCGATTCGCTGGAAAGACTCAGAGACCTCGGACCGCTGTCATCGCTAACATTTCCTTCGGACTCCTCCCCCTCGCTCTCTATTTCCTCCCTTTCCTGTGCCTCTGCTCCTGAACCCCTGACAGGTGGGATATAATTTTTAATAAAAAATTCATTTCTGTGACCATGTTGTTTACACGGACCATTTTAGGGTGAAACTACTACCCAAATGTTATGTTAAATTGCAATGCTTGCAGTTTGCACATTTCATTATGTTTATGTTGCCAATATATGTGTTTGGGAATGAGGCAGAGAAACAGATTGGGACTAAACTCCCCCCCCCCCAAAAAAATCATGGTCTCAATGAAATTCTCCTCTCCTAACCCTGGAAGAAAATATTCCACTGGTGATTAGGGGTGAGCAAATTTGTCCATTTCAGTTTCTCTGTTTCTCATTTTTCCAAATGAATTATGCAGTTCATTCTCTATGTTTTGACATCAGTTTGCATTTTTTTAAAAAACCCTCATCAAAATCCTCAACATTTTAGTGAAAATTTCCCCTAATAAGCACATTTTTGTATGTAATTTCACCTAATATCACATTTTAGCAAAGCAATATTTCCTAATGCAATGCATTTCTGCATGTTATTTTAAATAATATGTGAGTTTCTATACACCAAAATATACATTTCTGTACTCACTATGTGGAGAACTGCAATGGAAAAATCAGAGATGTGTGAATTTTGGTTTGCATATTATTTTGGAATGTGTGAATTAGGTACGTTTGCATTAAAATGTGAACTGAATCAAATTTCTCTTGCAACGCTGCTGGTGATTATGCAAAGACAGCAGTTTGGTGATCACCCACCTTCCCATGTCTGCAATTTAATTTTAAAAGCATGTGAATTGCATTCATGAAATTAACGTAACATGCAGTTTGGCTTTCATTCTGAGCAGTTCTCATATACTGGACCCAAATAAAGAATTTATTTCTTCTGGAGTCCTATTCAATGACAGTCAAACAAAGGTCTCGTGCTGTTTTCTCTGATGTGGCATCTCTGCTCATGTTTGGACACACCCTCCGACTCACTTCTCCCACAATAGATCCTGACTTGGGCATGCTTTGCTAAAAGTTAAGCATCTTTGTACTGAAGATAAAACATTGGCCTCCATTTCCTCTTGTTGTTGTGTTAGTACAGTTGTACTCCATGACACTGCAGCCTGTTTGCACAGATGGTATTTTTTTTTGCAATTGGTCTGATTTCAGATTAGATTTTTTTTTTTAAATTTTCCTTTTTTTTAGTACAGATGGTTTTCCTCTCCTTGTTTTTCCTGGGGTTTGCATGTTGTCGCTCAGATCGTTCCCCCTCTCCTTGGCTTTCACACAAAAAGAACTGCAAACCAGAAACAGTTGTCTAACCACTAAGAAACATATTGTGCCATGATCCTTGAACACTTCCAAGGGAAACAGCCAATCGGGGTGTGGGGGGCTTCTTTGAGAGTTCTAGCAGGGGAATTCAGCTGTTTCCATACCCTCGACCAAAGAGTGGTGCTCTTCTTCAATCTGGGATGGTCATCTTCTTCCAATGAGCCCCCTTCGTCGTCATCATCATCACTTTTAATTTGCATATAGTCTTTCTATCTTACAATACCTTAGGCAGTTTACAAGCTGAAGAAACAAAGAATGTACACCTTATAACAAACTAATGCAATACAAAATGTGATAATAAATAATAAAACACAACTTTAAAATAAGCAACCTACATCAAATAAAGTAGCATTCAACCATCATTAGAACAGAATAGAATAATAATAATAATAATACAGTGGTACCTCGGGTATACGCCTGCTTCTTGGGAAAAAAGCAATGACAAACCTAGACAGCATCTTAAAAAGTAGAGACATCACCTTGCCAACAAAGGTCCGTATAGTAAAAGCTATGGTTTTCCCAGTAGTGATGTATGGAAGTGAGAGCTGGACCATAAAGAAGGCTGATCGCCGAAGAATTGATGCTTTTGAATTATGGTGCTGGAGGAGACTCTTGAGATTCCCATGGACTGCAAGAAGATCAAACATATCCATTCTTAAGGAAATCAGCCCTGAGTGCTCACTGGAAGGACAGATCGTGAAGCTGAGGCTCCAGTACTTTGGCTACCTCATGAGAAGAGAAGACTCCCTGGGAAAGACCCTGATGTTGGGAAAGATGGAGGGCACAAGGAGAAGGGGACGACAGAGGATGAGATGGTTGGATGGTGTTCTTGAAGCTACCAGCATGAGTTTGATCAAACTGCGGGACGCAGTGGAGGACAGAAGTGCCTGGCGTGCTCTGGTCCATGGGGTCACGAAGAGTCGGACACGACTAAACGACTAAACAACAACAACAACCTCGGGTTACAGATGCTTCAGGTTGCATACGCTTCAGGTTACAGACTCCGCTAACCCAGAAATAGTACCTCGGGTTAAGAACTTTGCTTCAGGATGAGAACAGAAATTGCGCGGCAGCAGCAGCGGCAGCGGGAGGCCCCATTGGCTAAAGTGGTTCTTCAGGTTAAGAACAGTTTCAGGTTAAGAATGGACCTCTGGAACGAATTAAGTTCTTAACCCGAGGTACAACTGTACCAGCATTTAAAAATTAAACAGAAGTCCACACTTAACAATTACAATAAATAATTTCTAAACCACAGTCAATAAAATATTACAATAAAAATTGAGAAGCAGAGACTGGAGGGTGGAACAAGGCAGGTGGAAGAAGGCCTTGCCTGACAAAGTCTCTCCTCTCATGGAAGGGCGAGGGAAACACAAGGAGCGGGGAGGGAGGGGGACAGACGGACACATGTGCCTAGCTGGCCTGATCAGCTGAATCAACCTTTACAATCAATGGGGTGGCAGATCTCACAGCCAGCTTGCCCTTGCATCCAATCAGAAAAGGGAAGAACCTCTTTCACAATGCAAACATTGAATGAAACGTGCAGGGATGATCCAAACAGCTAGCCTATGCTTGCCTGGAAAGGTATAAGGGTTCAAGCATCTCTTTCTGATAGGTAGTCAGCGGCACTGCTAAATGATACTGTAGTCATTTATCGATGATGAGAGTTTAAAGTAAGGGCTATCTGGGTTTCTAACACTCCAGAGGGGCAGCCATGTTAGGGAACAATCCTACGACAATATCCACAGAATGAGCAGCTTACAATGCAGCGGATCTCTGCCTCCACTGGCTGGTTGCTGGCTGCTGGTGCGAGAAGCCTATTTTGAGCTGCTGGCAGCATATTGCAGAGCAATTATGTTTTTCTATTATATCAGTCCCCATAAGAACTGTTGCCCTCTGGGGATTTTCAGGAAGGGAGAGCAGATGAACGCAGCATTCGAAAGCTGTGGAAGGGCCTTCAACGATGTGCAGTACTAGAGCTCATAAAGGGTTAGGCTCACACAAATCCAACAGTACCTAGCAAGGTTTTTGAAACATACTCGGAGTCGCGTAGTGATTGCATGCTCTTTATTGCAGCTTGACAAACAGTGAATGAATTCCCGCCCCCCCCAAACCTCAGGCTTTATATACTACATTATTTACACAATGAGTCCCGTCTGATTGGCTGATTCTGCTTCCCTCCTGGAGCCTGATTGGGCTGCTCCCGCAGGCCAATCAGTTGTTGCATTCCAGGATCCTACCGGCCTAACAGGCTGATTAACTTCCTCCTGGGGTCTGATTGGGCTGCTCCTGCAGGCCAATCAGGTTGATGCATTCTAGGATCCTACTTGCCTATTGTTCTATGATCCAAGCTTAGTACATAACGGTTTTCTACTTAACGCTGCTGTTAAGAATCTGTAGCAGGATCTATTCTGAACACCAGGGCTCACTTCATCCTGGAACAAGTGATGGAATGGTAAATGATGGACAGAGTTCTTTCCCACACTACCTTTGTAGTCACAACCAGCGCCACTTTCGTAATCATGGTCAGCTCTCATGCACCTGAGACATTGACTTCAAAGAGTGAGCTAGATTCCTAGCCAGGCCTCAAGCCTGGATGGCTGCTCAGCATAGATGGCTTTAATAAAAGCATCAAGCAAATTCATGGAGGGTGGGGCTCTTGGTGCTATCAGCCACAATAACTCAGCATGGAATCCCATCTCGAAGGCCACAGGTTCCCTAGCTCTGCTGTAGTGTGTGAAATAGCCATGTGCACTGATGACAAATTGGAGAAATCGAGAGAGATATTACCTGGGCGTGGGGTGAAGAAAGAAAAACAGAAGATGAGATGCAGAACGGCAGTCTGGAATAGGCTTTAGATCTGGAGACAGTCATTTTCAGACAATCTTTTACTGCAGTGACAGATCATGTCCATGCACCCCTGCTTCCAGGCTGTTATGGTCCTGTGCTAGATGTTATCTGGGAGCATTATTGAAATGTGGCATGCAATGTCAAGAGGTTATTAGCAACCATTTTTCTAATAAAATGAGTGGGGCAGCAAGAAGCAAAGCCACCGTCCTTGTACTCATTTGCAGACATGCATTAAATGTCAAGTAGTTTTATTTTTGGCAATCAATGTTACGCGTGGGGTCTGGCTGCCCCTATTTAAAGAGATGCCAAAGAATGGCTAGTGTGACCAATCATGAGATGTGCCCAAGTTCTCAAAGCTGTTGCTTGCTTTGTAGTGTAGTCATATCTCTTATGTAAAAGATGACTAATCCCTGCATTCTATTTCCTTAATGCCTCTTTGCTGGTTTGTGTTGACAGAGGGGTGGAAATTTTCATTTCGGCTTCAACTTAAAGGAGCAGCTTGGAGCAGCTTTCAAGTCATGCCAGCAAGGAGTCTCAGTTCTGTCAAAAGCAGCTTTACTTGGGGCTGTGAATAATATCTCTTACTTTACATTCACAAAGCACATTTCTAGCTTTCAAAGCGCTTTGTGTACATGGTTTGGTAATCTTTAAAACAGCCCTGGGATAGTATGGGTTCAATCAAGAGTCCCATTCGCACTGTGAGTTTGGGTGCAATGAAGGTAGGAAGGGGAAGATGGCGACAGCAGCCCTCCCCCAAACCCCTGACCTATGTGCATTTGGTTAATTGCAATGACATGTGCATCCTGCATACATGTAGACATTCATGCAGGGCTTCTCCAGAGAGGACTTGTTTATTGAGCATTCATCCTGATTTGCATGTGTGAAGAAAGAACCTGGCCTGCCCCCACCCCAATTTGTTGAACACCGTCCAGTCACACATCTCCCTCCCATTCTATTCAAATGCAAAAAGGGGTGCTTGGGAGATATGACCTCCCTGACCCAGCTGACTCTAGCTCTCATTGGTCCGAAAGAGCCAAGGACCACGCCATCCAATAAGAAATGAGAGAGCCTTTAAAAGCTGAGCTGCCTTTGCAGCTTGGTCCCTCTACCATCAGGGTCCAGACTGGGTCTTCCATACCACTGGGAACCATCATGGATGCCTGCTTGTCATTAAACCAGAATGACTATATTGTAGTAGATAGGTACTCATTGGTTCAGTTTTAGGGCCACAGTGCTCGGGTTCATTTTGTTCTCTGTTTTGACCTTCTGTCTGCTTTCCCCCTACCTTTTATTCTAATAAAGTTTTCGATTTGACCACTGAAATGTGTGCAGTTGCCGGGCTCAGGACGATAGAATCCTATTTAACGGTTGCAAGTGGCTCAGCAAGGTTAAAATTGCACTGTAAAGGTTTCTGAGCACACGTCTGACAAAATGTATTAAAAAATGAACACCAAAACAAAGGCACTTGGTTTTGTAAATAACACAACTGATATTAAGCCAGTGTGGTGTAGTGGTTAAGAGCGGTGGACTCATAATCTGGGGAACCAGATTCACACCTCCGCTCCTCCACATGCAGCTGCTGGGTGACCTTGGGCTAGTCACACTTCTCTGAAGTCTCTCAGCCCCACTCACCTCACAGAGTGTTTGTTGTGGGGGAGGAAGGGAAAGGAGAATGTTAGCCTCTTTGAGACTCCTTAGGGTAGTGATAAAGCGGGATATCAAATCCAAACTCTTCTTCTTCTTCTCTTCTCGTGTGTCTAGATGCTTGGAATTCAAGCTTGTGAAAGTTTAGGATCAGTGATATAGGGAAACCAGCATTTTCTTCCAATATCTGTGAAAGATCTGGGAAGCACGGGGTGCCTTTACATTCTGAGTTACTTATAAGGGAACTTTCTGGGAAATACATTGTGTGGGGGGCTCAGAGTTCCTGGACTTTAGAAAGTTGAGAGGGTTATGCAAGGGAAATGAGCCAGTTGCAAGCCCTGCTTCCCGCAGCAAGTTTTGTGCAGGTTGTACCAAGAAGTACAGGGTGGGCTGGGTTGGCTTGGATTGCTTTGATGCATCCCCGTTTTCTCCCATTTCTGTGGCTGTAGGTGACAAAGAGAGGTGGTGTGGGAGCAGCTACATGGTGGAATGACCCAACTGGCAGCACTGCAGGGCTGTTGTGAAGAGCTGGGAAAGGAAGTGAGTATGAGACGCTCCCCTGAGCACCCCACCTTCTCCACAACATGGAGGTTAGACTGCTGTTCAACTAGCAATGGACAACTGACATGGCTGTCCCAAACCCAATAGTGGTTAGTGGTTAGATTCATGTGTGCTTTTGCTCATTGATCATCATAACTGTTAATTAATTGCTTGTGCTCTTTCTAATCAGTAAAATAAAGGTAAATGTAAAGGTATCCCTGATCATTAGTCGTGGACGACTCTGGGATTGCGGCGCTCATCTCGCTTTACTGGTCGAGGGAGCCAACGTACAGCTTCTGGGTCATGTGGCCAGCAGGACTAAGCCGCTTCTGGCGAATCAGAGCAGCGCACGGAAATGCCGTTTACCTTCCCGCCGGAGCGGTACCTATTTATCTATTTGCACTTCATGCTCTCGAACTGCTAGGTTGGCAGGCGCAGGGACCGAGCAACGGGAGCTCACCCCATCACGGGGATTCGAACCACTGACCTTCTGATCAGCAAGCCCTAGGCTCTGTGGTTTAACCCACAGCGCCACCCGTGTCCCTAATCAGTAAAATAAAGAAGCACAATTCATAGCATAAATTACTGTTGGTCTGCCTTTCCTCAGCTGTAACTGCAAAGTGTGTACTTTATATAGAGTCACCTTTCGGCACGAAAAAACAAAAAAGACGTTATTGACTCAGAGAGTAGGTCCAACTTGGTTTTGAATATATTTATGTCTCCCTTCTGAGGTTAAACACTGCTTGGATATAATCAGTGCAATTTTTCGAGAGAAAGAGGTGCCGGAACTCACCATGAACACCTCCCTTGTTCTCTTAGGACGCGGGTGGTGCTGTGATCTAAACCACTGAGCCTCTTGGGCTTGCCTATCGGAAAGTTGGCTGTTTGAATCCATGCGACGGGATGAGATCCCATTGCTCTGTCCCAACTTCTGCCAATCTAGGCATTTGAAAGCAAGCCAGTGCAAGTAGATAAATAGGTACCATTGCAGCAGGACGGTAAACAGGGTTTCGCTCTGGCTTCCATCATGGTCCTCCATGTGCCAGAAGCGGTTTAATCATGCTGGTCACATGACCTGGAAAGCTGTCTGGACAAACGCGGGCTCTCTCAGTCTGAAGCGAGATGAGCACTGCACCCCATAGTTGCCTTTGACTGGACTTAACTGTCCAGGGTCCTTTACCTCACCCCTCTTCTTAGAATGGAAACAGTGCCCACCTGAGAGGTACCAGAACTGAGCTCCAGCAAGCTCCACCTGAAAAAAAGGCCTTGGATATAATTCTTGTATAATTCTTGCAGTGTTTTTATTTTCCCCCAATACAGTATTTGATGAAAACTGTAAGTAAAGACTGACTGTGTAAGTTGATAATTTACGATTCCCTATTGAATTGGTTCCTTGGAAACAGCTTGCTAAGTATTTTCCTGTAAGACAAGACAAGTAGCTTAAAAAATCAGAATTC